CCCCTGAACATTTCAGGGAAATGGAATAACAAAGTTAAAAATCGTGAGGAAGAGGACAAGCAATGGCTCGTAAGTTATACTGAGGATACGGGTCCTATTTAGGAATTAGTGCACAGGATAAACACAACCAAGTCTTGCTCCTTGAATGTACAGGAAAATAAAGACAAATGGTTAGTAATACAGTGCTCTGACTATGAAAGTAGGGTAACATGGAAGAACTGCTAACAGGTGGAATAGTTAATTATCAGAGAAATCCTGGAAGGGTTTCTCTATTAACTATGCAAAGGCTGTGATGCCCGGACCTAGACATAAGGATCTGAGCCATCTACAAGAAGTTCCTGTGGCTTCAGAGAAGTGAGAAGACGTAAGAGAATGCAGTTTGTGTGACAAGATGGTGCCAGTCTTGTGGGGCCTTGGTGTCCTCTAAGACTTGCCTCTAAGGTAGAGGATATTATTCTGAGGCAGCAGCGAGCCAGTCTCAGAAAGGTTTGTTTGTTTGTTTTGGTTCTCTGAGACAGGGTTTCCTCTGTGTATCTTGGACTGTTCTGGAACTAAATCTGTAGATTAAGCTGCCCTCAAACTCACAGAGATCCACCTGCATCTGCCTCCAGAGTACTAGGATTAAAGGCATGCACCAGCAACATCCGGATTAGTAGAGAGTTTTTTAAGTTTGAAAATGTTAAATGTATAGGTAAGTCATTGCCAGAAGAGAATAGCTAAGAAGGAACTCCATATAGGAAGCTGGGAGATTGTTGGGAAACTCTCAAAATATCCTAGGTGGGACTCCTCCCCTCAAGACTCAAGAATCGTTGAGAGAGGGGGAACAGAAAGATTGGGAGAGGCAGAGGTGATGCGTGATGTCTAGGAACAGAGTTTTCTGGCCACACTGGGATAAATGCATATATGAACTCACAGTGAATGTGACCATGTGAACAGTCTCAAGCCAGACATGTAGTCCCGCTGCTAACAGAAGAGCTATTGGCACATGAAAACTGCTGGGAAGGGCAGAATCTGTTACTGTGGTTTATGGCCAGGGGAAAACACTGTCAATGTCCTTGATGTAAGGGGCCTCCATCCCGTGCAGCTTGGTCTGGTAGAGGCATTTAGCTCCTACCTCTTGAAATTATCTCCACTCTCTGCACACACACACCCCCCCCCCACATACATACTTACTAAAAACATTCCTTCAAACCTTAGAAAGTTCCATTCCATCTACCCTGGACTGGACTAAAGCAAAGCTGGGAAGTAATTTTAAAATGAGCTTTTGTTGTTCTTAGGGTTGGTTATTTATGTTTAAAACTAATTTATGTATGTATGTATGTATTATTATGTATTAGGCAGTTTACAGATATTTCCTAATTTAATCTCATCCAGTCCTTGTGAAATAATTCATAGTACCAATAAAGATTCTGTAATAAACACTGGCCCCTTCAGCCTTATGAACCCAAAAGCCTCATTAACCAGCACGTCTATTTACTTCCAGTTCAGTGATAATTGATTCTCATAATAATGACCCTGAGGGGCCTCATGCATCTACTAAAGACTATATAAAATTTGCTTAATGTCGCTATAGTAGTTTTCTATGACTGCTATAACAAATGACCCCATTCTTAATGGCTTTAAATGACACAGATTTATTATCTTACAGATCTGGAAGAAAGATGTCTAAAATGGGTCATACTAGAGTAATCTCAAAAGTTGGACAGTACTGTCTTCCTTTGGGAGGTTTAAGGAGAGAATCTGTGTCCTTACCTCTGGCAGCTTCTAGAGGCTCCTGCTATTCCGGTGTGATTTCCAGCCAGCTCCCTCAAACCCTGCCCTCCCTCTTCAGCCTCTTTCTACATCGCTCCCTTATAAATACTCTTGCGGTCATGTTGGGCCTACTCTGACAATCCAGGGTAATCATCCCATTATGTGATCCTTAAAGGATCCTCAAGAATTCCTTTGCTTTGTAAGGCATCATAGCCACAGGTTCCAAGGATTAGGATATGGGCATCTTAGGGGATGCTGCAAGCATGCTATGGCCAAACTATAGATGGACATCTTTGTTTCTTTCTGAATTAATTGCATAACAATAAATTTGCAAGCTGCATCAGTTTTATTAGCACAATTTGTCAAGTAACCCTGATTTTCCCTTGATTGCTGGGTGTTGCTAATATGTTATTTAATTCCAATTTTAACTAATAATTGTAACTCTGATCCGAAATATCCTCTACAAATCTCTTTCTTTCTTTGTCTCTGTCTCTGTCTCTGCGTGCATGTGTGTGTATGTGTGGGTGTGTGCATGTGAGTGTGAAGGCTACAGAGTGGTTACCAGAAGGTTAAACAGTGCACTGCAGAATTTAGAGAGTTCAGGGACCTTGTTGTAGACGCATCCAGAAAGTTAATAGAGATGGAAAGAAAAATCTCTGCAGGCATTAGATAGCTAATCCTGTTGGAGATGGGGGTCAGCAGTTTAAGTCAACAGAGCTTTAGGGTTCAGTTGAGCAGCAGAAGCAAACTGTGGAACTGTGGAGGCCACGGAGGCAAAACATCGGACCAGTTCTCGCCAGACAGTTGACCATGTGGATGAATGATGTCATGGTTAACTTATTTTGTCTACTTGGTCCAGATCTAGAGTGAGCTGGGAGGAAGAAATCACAACTAGAGGGGCTGGAAAGATGGCTCAGAGGTTAAGAGCATTGCCTGCTCTTCCAAAGGTCCTGAGTTCAATTCCCAGCAACCACATGGTGGCTCACGACATTCTATAATGGGGTCTGGTGCCCTCTTCTGGTCTGCAGGCATACACACAGACAGAATATTGTATACAAAATAAATAAATAAATATTTTTTTTTTAAAAAAAAAAAGAAAGAAATCACAACTAGAAGCATCGCCCTGGCCAGAGTGTCCCATGGCTATGTCTGTGAAGTATTCAATTAATTACTAGTTGATGTAGGAGGGTCTGGCCTACTATGGGAGGTGCCACCATAGGCAGATGGGCCTGAGCTCTATAGAAAGCTATCTCCTCAAAACAGGGGAAGCAAGCTAGTAAGCAGCCCTCTTCCACGATCTCTGCTTCAGTTCCTGCCTCCAGGTTCCTGGTTAAGCTCCTACCCTGAGTTCCTTCCACGATGTCTGTCAGTTCCTTGACCCATCCACTTAGAGGTCAGATGACAGCACAGTATTAGGCATCCCTCCAGTGAAGGTGTTACACTTTTTCTTGCTGTTGTGTGTTTGACAAGTGCCTGGGGATTTTGTTGTTGTTGTTGCTTTGTTTTGTTTTTCTTTAAATATAGGCACAGGTGCTGATATGGTCTCAATCTATTTTGATAAATTTATAGGGTGGCATTTTTTCTTTTAGGACTACCTTCCTTATCAGTTTATGCCTCGGTGCAGACAGAGGTGCTTCATGTGTGTTTCCGGTTATCCTGTCTCCGTATTTGTCTCCAGATGGACTCAAATGCTGCTTGCAAAATGGAGTGTCTCATGGCAAGGCACAGCCTGAAAACTCACTGTTTTACACAATATTGGGACAGTCTGATTTCAACATGAGATGCCAGGGGAGAGGACTCTACCCATCTCTATAACTAAGGTTAAATTTAGTTTTGTTTCGTTACATTTTTGAAAATTAAAAGCCTACATGTATAGAAATACCTAAGTGAAATATATGCAAATTTACTTGACAAAAATAAAGTTTTCTAACATGATGAAAAATATATACCTCATTTTATATGTGTACTTTAGTTATTTCACTTGTACACATTTTTATTTTTTCAAATCCAACATAAATGTCTTTATGATATTCTTTCCTTCTATAAAAGTTCTGTTATAAAGAGGTCTCCATGGGGATGGGAATTCAACTCCATAGTAGAGTGCTTGCTCTATCTTCACTATTAAAAAGAGTTTTATATGCATATATTATAAAAAAATCATTGAACTGGGGTTATTCTTGTTAAGGTGCTGAGGTCAAAGCTAGGGCCTTGTGCATGCCAGGCAAGTACCTGAGTTACATCCCCAGTTCAATTAAGTATTCTTTTTTAAAATAAACTTTATGAGAAAGACACTTGGAAATAAAAGACATCACATACTGAAGTTAGCCAAACAAAAGACTATACATCTCAATGAACTTCAATGAGTAAGGATTCTTAAAGCAAGCATCTTTCTAAGACATTTGCATTCAGGGAAGTCTATTTTATGGTTGTAAAAGGTATTGCTTTGTCCTGCACTCAGGAGGCAGGGGCAGGAGGATTTTTATGAGTTTAAGGTCAGCATGACCTAGTCTACAGAGCAAATTCCAGGACAACCAGAGCCACACAGTGAGACTCTGTCTCAAAAACAACAATCACAAATATTAACAATAATAAAACAGGCATGGACTGCTTTGTAAGAACAAAACAGTTATGGGAATGAGACACTTTCACGTGGAAATCAACTGAAGCAAACGCTTTGTAATTATCAAGTCAGCAAGCTACTTCCGTGTGATCATTCTAGCCTGTGACTGAAACCTGACGGAAACGCTAGTGAGCCAGGTTCTGTTTCCTCCCCTTGACCATTTCAATGAGGATGGACTATAATAGCACGGATGGCACGTACAAGATGTCAGTACTGCGAGGGATGCAGACGGGGGGACCCAAAGAGCACCTGGGAAGCAGCGCAACTTTGCAAGAGGAAAGGCCACTCTCCGATAGTGATACTGAAGATCAAGGAGTTCGTCATAGAAGGAACCCGAAGAGGACCGTTTCAGGCAGAGTTGAGCTCAGTCAGGAAACCTGGCTATTTGGGGAAAGGGGAGAAGGCCAGAATCCCTGAGACTAATAAATATGAAAGTAACAAAAGCCAAGTTCATAGGTGTGGTGATTTGAATGGGGGGGGGCACAAGCCGATAGGGAGTGACACAATTAGGGGTGTGGCCTTGTGTCACTGTGGGGGCGGGCTTTGAGGTCTCTTCTCCGTATCACAGTTCACTTCCTGTTGCCTTCTGATCAAGATGTAGCCAGCATCATGTCTGCCTGCAAGGTCCCATGATCCCCACCATGATGATATTGGACTGAACCTCTGAACTGTAAGCCACCACCTCAATAAAATGTTTTTCTTTATAAAAGACACTGTTTCCTTTATGGCCACGGTGTCTCTTCACAGCAATAGAAGCCATAACTGAGAAAATGGGTAATAAAAGCTTAAATACATAGAATTGAGGGTGCTGTTAGGTGCCAATAAATAACCAAGTGAGAGAAATGGGACTCAGGCCTCAGCAGATGGGAATCAGAACAACATTGCTTCTGCTGGTTGAGATGCTAAAGCCAAATAGTCTTCCATGCATCCCTCACTGGCATCAGTGTGGAAAAATTTCCCTCTTCTGTTCACCTAGGTGGAGCGGATCTGGATCTGCGGCCTCACCGTCACCACTTCCAGAGGCAGCCATGGCTGAAGAGAATTAAGCCCTTTGTGAGAATTCAAGACATCTCGGAGTCAAGTGTACTGCCTCTGTTCCCATCTTATCAGTGAGAATTCCCTCCTTCCCTAAGAGGGTAAGAGGGGAGTCCTGAGGGATGAAAAGAGAGATACAGTTGCTGAGAGAAGTTAGAAATAGGTTCGTGATATTCCTCCTACGGAGAGAGCATTGTCTCCTTTCTGTGAAGTTCATAGAGAGGAAGATAAATGTTAACCGGACATTCTCACAAGATGGATCTTACTGGTCATAAAACTCTTCATATTTGATTATAACTGCAAACAATCCCTGAAAAAAATCATTGGTGGAGTGATAAAAACAGATTTACGGTTTGATAGACTACTCTGCTGTAGAGACAAAGGGGTAGGAAGGTGACATCTAAAAGACTCTTGCCTCATTTATCGAGGTGAGATATGCTACATGTGTGCCAGGGTAGCCGCAAGAAGAAAAGCCGGAGATAAAGGTGTCTACAGTGAGAAAGGGTGAGCTGGACTTAGGGAGAATGTCAAGGAGGAAGCAGACTAGACATGAGATTTCTCATTTAAAGAAGCAGTTAGATGGTGATGCCATGGGTGGGGGAGAATAAGACAACAACAGAATCATTACACCTTAGATTTGGTAACATAAATACTGTCGGTGATTCAAGAATAGCTTTGTGCCTAATAAGAAGGAAAGACAAAGACAAAAACGGTTTTGTAAATGATTGTTTATATACACACAATAGAAATCTTCCATTGGAAGTGAGTGGAGGAATAACAAGGAAAGGGGTAAGGACTTAAAGTTTGGTTTTACATTGAAGTGGATGATCCAGTGGCTTCAAAAGAGGCAGAATAATGGCAGATAGAGAACTTTAGGAGAGGCGAAGGGGACTGTGACTAAGAACTGTTGAGGGGTGCTGACCCATGGAAAGAGCGGCTGGTGTGAACCTCAGATCTGAAGGCAGGAATAGCCAATAACAACTTCATCTCAGAAGCACAGGCAGGGTCATCAATGGTGAATCAGAGGAAGGGAAGGGGGCGGGTAGCAGGAAGAAGAGAACATGAAGCAGTTGAGTCAAAACATGAAGTGAGGACGGGAGAGATGGCTCAGCTGTATCTGGAAGTTTCGCTGCTGACTGCCAATTCCCAGATAACCGTTCAGAGGCTTAATATTAATTACATACTGTTCTGCCTATTAGCTCAGGCTTCTTATTAACTAGCTCTTACAACTTAAATTAGCCCATTTCTATTATTCTATATTTTACCATGAGGCTTGTGGCTTATTATGTCACATCTTGCTTCTCTGGCGACTACCGGTGTTTTCCTTCTTTCTCCCTGCATCCAGTTTGGCTTTCCCACCTAGCTATATTCTGCCCTGACTTAGGCCAAAGCAGCTTTATTTGTCAACCAATAAAAGCAACACACATTCGCAGCATACAGGATATCCCACATCACTCAACCAGTAAAGGCTAGACTCATAACCAAAAAAATTATGAACTGAGACCTAAAGCACCAAGTACTGCTGCTGGGCAGCATTGACTGTCCATCTGAGGTCTGTAATGACTGAAAAGTGAGCTGTTTTAGCCTGGCTGTGTCATTGTCTTCAGTGACACAGTGACAGTCATCCAAGAGGCTGATGTGCTCAAGAGTAGTCGCAGAGCAGGTAACAGCACAGGTTAAACAGAAATCATCAGCATTTAACATTGCACTGCAGAAGTGGTAACGTTTATTACCCTAAGGCATGATGGTGGTAGAGGTGGCTGGAGATGGGTGGAAGGGTGGCTAAGAAATGGGAAATGGAGGGAAAGGACATAGGTGTCGTCCGTGTGATTTCTGAAAGCACTGGGTATGGTGAAGAAAGAAGGAGAGCGTATGGCAGGAGTCAGGTTATCTGTGAGTGAGGAAGAATGGCCAAGAAACTTGCAGGTGGCAGCAACAAGATTTAGAAGACCAGGTAGCCAGATGGCATGAACTCTAAGAGATCCGAGGTCTGTACAGGAAGACATGGGGAGCAAGGAGAGCAGCTGTGCTCTCCATGGGTCCTGCGGGTGGTGAAGGATGAAGCACACGTCCCCTGATGGGGTCTGGGATAAAATGTCCTTCAGTAAAAAGTTCCTCAAGGCAGAAGATTGACATATGCATGAGGAGTTTGTTATCTATTGCAGTTTGAGATACGAGAACAAACAGTGATTATTTCTCAAAATACTGTAGGCTGATTGGATCCAGCTGAATGAGTTTTGATTTGCAATATTCAAATGCAGTTGAAATATTATGGAGCTTTGAATGGGTTAGGGTAAGAGTCATATGTGTGTCTGGTGGCTCTGTAGAAATGACTCGGTTTTCTGATCTCTTCGTCCTGGAGGCCTCCCCCTCCCCACAACATATACACACTTTCTGGGAGTATACCTGAGCATTCTACCTGGCAGTTGAGCATCCTGTCAGCACAGGAGCAGAGGCCACTAGGCCTTCCTCAAAACTTTAGGCTGGAGTTGGAACAGGTTAGTTGTGTCATTTCCTCTTTGTGAAGTGAGTCAAGGGACCAAACAGAACCAAGGAGAGGAACTCACAAAGACAACAGGAAAGGAGGGACCATGGGACAAATGTAAGGACAGTAGCTACAAATGGAAGAATTTTGTTCTTGGTGACAGAATTTCTGATAGTAGAGTGGAAAGATGGAGGCAGAAGTACAGATTCCGCCGGTTCAGAAAGCAGCAAAGGACTCTAACCATGGAAGAACAGATGTACGGGATGAGAAAGGGACCGTAGGGGTTTAAGGCAAGATGAGACTAATTCTAAGAGAGCAGTGCTCTCCAAATCCCATTTTAATCATGTATTCCTAAGGAAAACATTTTAAACACTCCTCCTCTTTAGTAATTATAATTTTAATTGTGTGTTCAATAATGTTCTGCTGTGAAATGCACTTTGTAAAACGAATGGGAAAATAGAAATAATTTTTGTCAATGCCATAATAACTAATTTTTGACCTGTCTAGAAAGAACAATTTGCTTCAAAATGCTTCATCCATTAAAAGTTTATAAGTCAGGTCTGAGTTATAGTGGATCAGAGGCTCTGCTTTAATAAATCAAGGCTGAGTTATAGTGGATCAGAGGTTCTGTTTTAAAGCTCAGGGTTCCGGCCATGCCATTTCTGACGAACACTTTAGTTCAAAGAGCAATCTCACAAAACAAGTACGGCTAGATGGAGAAAGGTACCATTGCTGAATTATAACAATCATTTTCCGGTATCATCCCCATCATAGAAATTCATCTATTAACAGTGCAAATGTTGAAATTCGAGCAGTGAATATATATTAATCTTCATACCAGTTCTGGCAACGAATTAGAAACTGCTATGGTTTAAGAAAAATTTTAAGGAAGTGGATTCCAAACCCACTGAAAGAAGATTTTTTTTTAAGTTTTAAAAATGACATTCTCAGACTTTAATTATGTAGGTATTAAAAGGTTTTCATTTTTAAGTTGTTTTCAACAACAAAATGGCATGAGGGAACATTCCTATTTTTAAAATGCTGTTTTTGTAGCATAAGTGTCCTGAAGAACAATTGTTTTCTCCATCTTTGTCAGAAGTATTGCCTTGCCTGAAGGAACCCATTAAGAATATTATCGTTTTAACAACATGGCAGTCACTTGTGTTCATAGCAAATGTCAGCATATTGGGAGCACATTAGCTCTTGGGAAATAGAAGCGTTTCTTAGCCTTTAGTTTGGGAATGCTTTCTCCAGGAGGTCAGTGAGCTGGTTATCACGTGACTTTCATGGTCAGCCCACATCTCTTTACAAAGTCTCTGTTGTTATTTGAAAAAATCTTATTTTAAACGTTTGCCTCACTGGCAACATCCTGCAGAACATACGGCACTGTATAAGACACAGGAGGATGATAGACTTCCGCAGGCGTTGCTGCCAAGCTCCTCTGGGGCTGGTTTACATACCCAATTTCTGAACAAGTGAGGAAAGCAGTGTTTTTTTTAATATATTTAGTGGCATTAGTAAAGCATAAATCTATTCTTAAAGAGTTAAGCAAATATCACTATAAAGCATTTTTTTCCCTTTGGTTCTCACTGCTAATTTTAGATACTCTGTTTTGCCAACTACGTTCTTTGAGGAGAATGAAGAATGATGTAGATGCATTGCACTAGTGATGGGTGTGACTCTAAGTACAATGGCTGAACGACAATGTCAAGGTGACTATCTTCTGAAGACATTTAGAGAAGTGGGGATGTAGTAAGATTCATAAAGATACATATATGTGTATCTTTATGTATATATATAAATTTATTAAGGGGTGCGAAGGAGAACAGACCCATGGAGTTGAGGGTCAAGGCAACTCAAGAAGAAAGCAATCGAATGGCTATGCAGTTGATTGAAGATATTTTAAAAGACAGAAGAGAGTATAGCAGCATCAGATACAGATACAGAAACAATGGCAGAGTTATTGAGAATCTGTAAGCATGATAGACGCAGAATTGCAACTTTTATTGCTTACAAAATGGTTAGGAAAGGTGAAGGAAAAATGACCTTTGGCCCAAGAATCACCAACTTACCGCTGAGATTGAGGAGCCACGTGAGCATACCACTTCACACCTCCTCACTCACTGCTCAACCTAAGGGAGCGTTTGACTTCTCTCTCTCTCCTTTTAAGAGATCACTTGACAGACAAGAAGCCACGCCTTAAGGCTGCTACCCCAAAGCTATTGGTGTAATGAATTCCCACCACAGAGGGATCCCTACCAAAGAGCTTCAATGCAGCCCAATTATTTGGTACCAACTATATGCCAAGAATGGTTTTTGCAAGGACTTTGGCACTGAGTGACAGAAACTGGAGAGGGGAATGAAGAGACAGATATCAGTAGTGCATGTTTTCTCACGTGAAATTTGTGACTACCAAGTGAGAGAGGAAGGAAACTAGGAAAGCTGAGGCCTGGGAAGACATCTCAGTGGGTAACCCTGACTGCTGTGAAAGACAGAAGGCCTGTTTGAATGAGCAGCACCCACATATCAGCCTGGTGAGCCATGTCTGTAACCCCAGCATTGGCAACTACAGAGCAGAGATAAGTAGATCCTGGGAGTTCATTGACCAGTCATTCT